AAAAACTAATACTATTAAACCTAATATAAAGCTATACCTTAAATAGTATAAAACCAGGCCAGGTAATATTTCTAAAAGGTAAAAGCTTAAAAGAAGTAAAAGAACCTTCTTAGAGCTATTAGGTACTAGGTTAGTAATATTAACCTTTTAATAATATAGATAAAAATATACCAGATCTAATAAGGGGCTGGTATAAAAATAGGATAATTATAGGTTTTTAACTATGTTTTTCCTATAATATCTACTAGTAAAGGTACTAGAGCTTTAAATAGCAAGCTAGTATAATTAAATAAATAAATAAATACATTATATTAAGTAATAATTTAGGTAATATAAGAAGTTATAAAGCTTAGTATACCCTTGTAGGCTTATAATTATAGTATCAATTATGTGACCGGTTCTGTGACAGTAGGTACACCTGTTTTCACTTCTAGCAACCATGGCAGTGCGTTGTTCGTCAATGGTCCGTTTACGCTCCCTTTCTTTTAAGAAGTATTCATGGAGTAAAGCTGATTGAACGACGCTTTTATAGCTTGCTGGGGGATTTCCGTCCTTCTTTATAACAGAGTTGGATCCCATCCATAGTTCGCGGAAGGTGTCATACTCGTCTCCTAGAGCGGCTAGGAAGATGAGGATTTTATTTCCCTCAGTAATCATCAGGAGCTTCTGATCGATCTCCGTGCATCTGTTGACTCTTGTGGTTAACTCTAGTGACAGATCGATCACGTCCTCGCAATCTTTAAGCGTAAGCTCGTTGATTTCGCGGTAGCACTTCAAAACGTAGGCTATGCTGGTTGGTTGGTTTGGTTTGTCGAGTTCTTGGTATCGAATCTGGGAGGGTTGCTCCATCATATATTTGTTCGGTCAGGGGACTGCTGACGGATCAGTATATTAAGTTTGTCAGGTTTTAGTCTGGATTCAGGGATTTCGGAGATGCATAGACAGGAAAGATTCTGGTGTCCTGTTATTTGGTGTGAAAATTTTCTCCTTGTAATTGTTGTGATAATTATCGGCCCATAATATGGCGTTATTGTTGCACAGCGCGGCTGACCAATCAGGTCTATATACTTTTATCTGTTCGTACCCCCTATATACCCTGCAATAGCACAGCGCGCATAACTAATTAGGCTGTTACAGGTGGTTTCAGGCTGTTTTAGGTAAATAGGTCACATGATACAGGCCACGTAAGCCACTGCGCCTTGGAATGCGTAGGCCAAATCGCTCTTTATAAATATGCGCGTTATTTCCTCTCCTTTGTAGCTAGGATTAAGGCTGTTAATCAATATAACAGAGATTCGTATTATATAATACAAAGGTGCCTAGCTTTCCTTGCGAGAGTTGTTCGATCGGACCAATTGTGCCCGGTCTATAACTACCCTGATTGGTTGGATTAATGTTATCCCGTTCCGGTGCCGCGAGCGGTCCACGTGAGCGGCCCGCAAAAGAGGTCACCGCGGCAATAACACCAATTATAAACGCTATAATGCCTGCTTGTACGCAGCTAATAGCCTCCTATTCCTTACGCTTTTATTTGTTAATTGAATATTGTTATTTGTAATACTTATTTCACCTTATAAAACTAATATTTAGCGGCAAATACCTACACGAAATAGAGGGAAAAACCGCGTAAACTATAATAAACTAGCTATACCTGCTACTATATAATTATTATAAAAATTTATATTATCTTATATAAAAGTGCTTAGTTTTCCGTGCGGTAGTTATAAGCCCGGGAGGGCTACTAGCCCTATAACTTCCCGGATTACAAAAAATTACTACTAATTCACACTAACCCACATGTTTAGTCTTACTCGCAAGTTCAAACCCCAATATTAGCAATTTAACACCTACCCAAATGCAGGCCATAATAAAAGAAGTAGCCTTATAAATACGTTATGTGACCTAGAAATAGCATATAAGTTGCTATAAGGTAAGAAAAATACCTACTATATCTACCAGCTATTATTTAGAACAGACGCTATAGCAGTTATTTTTACGGTCTAATACTCCTAGCATTATAATGCTAGAACTAGGATATATACTGCAAGAAATATATATTACTAAATAATAAGAATAAATTTAAGAGAAAAAAAGAAAAAAAAAAGATTTTACCTTTTTTTTTCCTTTTTAATATACTTTACTTTAGCCTAAAATTTATTCATGCTAGGTCCGGTACAGCTCTACTTAAGCTCCAGCCTAGACCCAAGCCTCTAGCTCGAGTTTATAACACTTAAACCTCTTTTATCTGCTATTTTTAAACTTGCGTACTAACACATCAATACATGTGGTGTGGCCACGCCCATTCTTTGGTGGGATAATTGTCCCTCTCCGCAGACTGGGAGTCAAGTCATACCGAGATCAATCAATGTCAATACGACCGCACCAGTGACGCGTAGTCGCATTGCCACCCTGAGCCTTGCGCTCACGACAGACTAAGGCATAAGGCCGGCTCACTCTAAGCTGAAGCGGACCGGATAGAGGAACAGTTTCCTCGCCTTGCGTTGATTAAAATTTGTCTCATCATGCCAAGCCTGCCAACATGTCAGGTTTAGCATCATGCAGGCGGGTTCCATATGGTTACATTGTAACCATGCTTGACTGAATCGACGAGAGGACTTGAAAGAAACTAATGAAAACCAGACTGGCTGAAACCTACCAGAGACTGCCGAACATGGGCCAATTTTGCCGCCGTGTACGTGCTGGCGTCAAAAGTGCTGCAAAAGGCGCCAGGTCAACACTGACCTTTGGCAGCACCGTCGACCTTTGGGAGCAGTTGACCTTTGGCAGCACTTTTGATGATGTGGTCTGGTATAAAAAATACCAGTTGACATGTAGTGACTATATTGACTATAGCGCCAGTGCGACCGTAGCCCGGTCATCTCCTCGAAGTCCTCCAGGCTCCATGTCACCATCAATGATGCTCAGCCCACCAGACAAGCTTGAATACATGCATGTGACAACCTTGCTCTACTCCACCTCGTACATCTGCTCCAGCATGCTCTCCAAATATTCCTTCTGCTCCCGGATAAAGGCCCTTGCAGACTCAATGTCAAAACAGCGACCCGCGCCCCTTCGGCACCGCTCATCCCTGCGCCTCTCACGAAAACGCTCCTCAAGCACGCCGAATCGATACTCGGCGTACTGCGGATACAGCTCATCAAGGTTGCTAATGCCCCTCACACCAGTAAGAATCGTCTCGTCCCTGACGAACGGAGACCTCGGCCGAAAGGGAGTCACCATGGCTATGCGCTCGCGGCACCCGTACGCCCTCAGCGCCTGGTGGTAGATGTATCGCCCCTGCATGACGACGGCGGTGCCCATGCTCGGCCCGCGGACCTTTTGGACCGTGCCGTCCGGCAGTTGGATGGCCGTCTCGCCGCCCACCATGCTCGCGCAGTCGGATACCATGGTCACGCAGACAAACGGGAAGCTGTCGTAGTGCCAAGCCACTGCAGAGACGTGATCGGCGCAGGGGTCGGGGTCGACTGCCGCCTCCGGGTCGTCGTTGACGCATATGTTGATGTTGGCAATCTCGTAGTCGTATGCCGGGACCAGCTCCACGCCCGCTACTTGGGAAATCTTGTCGAGTACCTCGGGCGAGCTCCAGGCTTGATACGTAAATGGGGCTCGGCTTCAATCTCGTCAGTCAGAATCCAGTGCTTTCTTTTTTCTCCATGCACACGTGGCTACTTACTCGCGGCCCATGCCACGAATCATGTTGGCGATAAAGTCTGAGCTGTAGCGACACTCGTTGAGGACGGGCTCGCTAAAGATTTCACGTCTCATCTGCAACACTGCTTCTTTGGTAAACAGTGAGAAGGGGGCGGAGACGGCGTTGGGAGAAATTCCCTGCCCTTCAAGCCCAATCTCCTTCATGGTGGTAATCGTTGCCGGAGGCTCAAAGGCCATGTGTCTTTGGGCCTCCCAGGTGTCTGTGGGTGTGGCCTGCGCCTCCTCAATGAGAAAGCTGGGAATGGCCGTGTTGGGACGAGTGGCCTTTTTGGTCTTTGGTCCAACGACGGGAGGCGCCTTCATAGGAGAGGCCTCGCCGAGGTCCAGTGTCGGCGTAGTAGACAAAGCCGGCATGTTGACACCAATGGAAGATCAAATCATGAGTGCGTGTTATTCTTTTGATTATGGGACTCTTTTGTACCCGAGGAGAGCAGAGACTAAGAGAAGGGGGATTGGAAGTGGTCAAGAGCAGTTTATATCATCTGTTGCAGCCTACCGGGAGGGAATACGAAGCCACGGAAGCCGAAGGCTCACTCTAACACCTTATCGAGGGAAGCCATCTGCAGGCGTTGCATATTTATTGCATCGGTACGCTTCCAAGTCCCGCCTAAAAGACGCCCCCGAGTTTCCCGAGAATCAATCATGTTACCAAAAGAAATGGATTTATGCATTGACATTGGATAAGACTCCTGTTGGTTGCAGCCCAAGTCTGTGACATGTCGACTATTGAGTCGGCTTTAGAATCCGGACGTCTGGTCACATCACGGAATAGGATCCCGAGGCTGTGCGAACTGACCTCAGTCTGGTGTTCGTTACAGTACGGGCTTAGCGGTTCGGCCGTACCACACGAATTATTAACAGATGATTGATGTCCAAGAAATCAAGTCATCTGTCATCTTTCACCCGTCATCCGAATCAGCAGGGTTCGGGTGAAGAAGCCGAGTGGCGCTTTGTGGAGGGTCGCATCCGGGGCTGGACCGTCATGATGTGCCGAGGGATGGCCCGCATTCGTGTCAAAAGAAAAGCCCGAGACATCGAGGGACAATGGATGCATAGTGTAGAAGTGTAAAGTAATGATATAGCTATTCGGCCGTCTTCCCACCCTCGTCGCGTGTTGCGGCACAGGAGTCGGGACCAACAAGCAACACAACGCTTAGAAGTCTCCAGAATGATCCGGTCGTTTGCCATCGGCCCTCCACCAACCCTCGCGAAACTGGTCGAGCAACATGTGTAGCACAAGAGATCTACCGAAGGCAAAGAAGGCCACATCGCCTTGATGCCATGACACTCGCCGATCCGGTCTTGAAGCCGCCGGGAGCACACCCTTGTAAGATCAACGATATGGGTCGACTAGCCATGTCACAAATTCTGCACTCCGTACGAAGTAATCACAGAGGGGCTCCAACGTCAGGTATTACCACCAAATTCTCTCGAACATTTATAAAGAAGTCGGTATATCTTCATTTATCAATGCTTTCCTATTTTGTGCAAGGAGTCTTTTATACACCTCTTACTTTTCTCACGCCAGGGAGAAAAGCCTTGTTACCGAGTACCAACTCCCATGTTCATGTACACCTTCGAGAGCTCGGCATACGCCTTATAAAATTTGATAAAAGACTGTCTTGCATATTAACTCTTGTGACATGATTCAGAGACTCGTTTCTTGAACTATTTAAATAACTCATATTAAGTCGCGCACTGTTGCTGCTATTAAAGTCGATGTGTATGATATAATATCCTGTCGTTTGGAAAATAAAGGTCAGATGCGGGTTTGGAGAATACCATTAACATGAAGATAGAGCAATTAAATACCAAGGACTCAGACTTGTAAGAATGGTTTTAAATTGAAAGGAATTAAACTGAATAACATGCTGGCCTTGTATACCAATTGCAAGTATCATATAATAATGGCTGATGCTTTGGACGAAAAGCTTGGTCTTGACAGCCCAGGCCGTTGAAATCCAAGTAAACATGCCAAAAAAGACTTAAAGCTGTTTCAAGATGTGATTTTCATAGTGTTGCCAAGGACTCGCTCCAATGGGATGCCAATTATAAAATAACCCTCTAGCATCTTCCAGGGGTGAAAGAGCCAACACGGCAAAGTCTGACGACGAATTATTCCAGTCCAAGCTCCCCCTTCAGGCGAGGCACAATCGTCCCCTCGTTCCACGTCCAGATCAGAGCGCTGTTATGGCCCGCAAACGCCGCCCCAGTCCAGTATGTGTTACCGGAGCCCTGGAGTGCCAGCAACTTGGTGTAGAAACCGGCCCTGATGTCTTCGGCCGTGACGCGCACATTGTACGGCGTGTGGTTGGAGGTGTACGGGAACGTGACGGTCTCGGCTGCGTCTTCCGGAACGGCACCCGCCGCCGCCAGGGTGGCCAGGTTCTTGCGGACGAGGTCCTTTCCTTGTTCATCCGTGACGTCGCCGCTGTCGAAACCCCCGCCGATCAAGACCTCTTCAGGCGATCCGGCGTTGACGAAGACATTGTTCCCCGGAATGATGGGCTGGTTGAAGGGGGTCTGGGCTCCAAAGTTGATAAGCGAGCCGTTGAAGCCGGGGACCCGGGCCACGCCGGCAAAGTAGCCAAGGGAGAAGAACTTGGAGAAGATGGCCCGCTCTTGCTCGTCGAGGTCAAAGGCGCACATGTTGCTCAGTGTCGGCGGAATGGCAATGAGAAGCTTGCGGGCACGGATCATGGTAGGGGCCTTGTCGGGCTCGGCAACCAGGAGGGTGACACCGGTCGAGTTGGAGTGACGGTCGACGCTGAGGATGGCGGTGCTCAAGAGGACGCTGGAGCCCAGCTCCTCCAGGGCCTTGTCGTAGAGGCTCCTGGCGTCGCCAGTGCCGGAGAAGATGTACTCTCCTTCAAGGATGCTGCTCAGAAAGCCAGGTCCGAGGCTCTTGAGGCCGTACAGGGCCGGGATGGTCGTGAGGTTGCCCGTATACCAGTTCAGCCGGGCGACAATGGGAAGCAGGGCAGAGAAGCCGTACTTGTCTGCGAGCTGGCTGAAGGGAAGGTACAGCTCCTCGGGAACGGGGTCTGGGACGAAAAAGCCCTGGTCGATCCATGCGTACTTGCTCAGGACATTCTGGGTGTAAGCTTGCGCGGCGGCTTCAACAGCCTGCTGCTGGGCCGTGGCGTCTGCGGCATCTGTGGGTGGGATGCGCGTGCCCAAGGCAAAGTCATACAACTCTGCTGACAGTGGTTTGGAAGAAAAACCGGTGGCCAGGGTGGAAGTTATCGTGGGAACTCCGAGGCGTGCGAAGTAGCGCTTGACCAGCTCCGTCTTCTCAAAGAGGACGACGCCGACGTTGCTGGTTACGCCGGTGTCAGGGTTGATATATGTTTCCGCATGGCCGCCAATCTGGTCCTTTTTCTCGATGACGACGACACTGGCGCCGGCATCCTTCAAATGAATTGCGGCGTGGATGCCGCCAGCGCCGCCGCCAACGATGGCGACATCAACATCGACCACGTTCGGCTCTGTGTGGCATCTTGACCCTGCACATGCTCCGAGCCACGGGGGTAAAACGGTGACAAATTGCGAGAATCTCATCATGTGTATACTGTGTAAGGATGAACAAGGCCTGCGTTTAACTTGTCAATCGTCGAGCGCGGCCCTATTTATCCCATTTCGCGGCGAGGCGCCGGATCCGGGCATCTTGTGTGACAAGGGCGAAAGGCATATAGCAACGACTCCCGAATTCATCTAATAACAGCAATAGTGGGCCACTACGAGACCTTGGTACCGTCTGCATGTAGTGTCTGGTTAAAAAAATCCAGCATAGTGCCGGCACCGTAAAAGGCTATCAATTGATGGTGTTACGCGATACCGGCATAGTGCCCGCACCGCTACAGGTCCCCATAGAACCTTACTACTAAGTCTTTGGTATTAAAAGTCCTTGGTTTTCCAAGAGGAAGGGAGGGACGAGTAGCCGCTATATATATATTAAGGGAACAGCTGTGCCTCAGGTTTCCACCGGGTCATGTGTTTATAAACTGTGTGACCTTGAGTCCCATTATCGGCGATGCCCCTTTATTGCGCTTTATTATTGGGTCCTAACCGCGTGACATGAACCCACCTGTCAGAGACGTATTAATACTTTCAAGGTTCTTTTTTCCTATGCAACAAAAAAGGTAGCAAGATAAAATACACGTTTATGATTTAATACGTATTATATATTACAAAGTATATTTACGAAGTACACGAGGGCTACGATCACGACACCTTGGGGCACGAGGCTCACCAACTTCTTGTACAAATAGAACCCCCCATGTCCCCAAGCCTTGAAGAAAGCCAAAGACCCTTGATACTACCGAAGACTATTAGTAGCTGAATTGAGTTATTGCTCTGCCATCCAACTATGCCACCACGGTAATACTATGGGAACGTGCTGGGCACCAGAGCCGCCACTACTATTGGCTAATAACGTAGCCAGGCAATTAGACCGAGATCGGCTAGCCTCAGCACTAGTGCGAATTTGCCCTGCACCAGACTCTTTGTGGACTAGTCTCACTACCTGATCGTAACTATGTGCCCCGCACAAAGTCAACTCCCTGCGTTGTTCAAGCTCAACCGGGTAATCGATTCATAAGCCGTCGTCGATATCAATGATTCTTGCGAAATCACTCAAACTGCTCCATGCCGCTTTAATCACAAACCGTGTTTTGTTTGGAGTGGAAATAGCAAGATGCCGTTGCAGGCTGACACTCGCAGGGCTAGGAGGACGCCCAACGCGTAAGAAACCGCCTCTTCACATTCTGCAGCTTGCGACATGCCGACCATTGCCCGTTTCCACCATAGTTGCCGAATGTGCAGTAAAAATGTGATTGACTGATTTGTTTCCATAGCTGTGCGGCATGCCGCCAAAGCAAGATCAAATGTTCCGGAAGGCAGCCGTGTCAAAGTTGTCAGCGACGCCTTGTTCCATGCAAGTTCACGGACGCGGGCAGCCACAAAGTCGTCGTGACAGGCAAATACCTCGAGGATCTACGGAGGCGAGCGGAAAGACAACAGCCGTCGCCTTCAACAACAAGGGATTATGAGCCGCAAGTGCATGCACCGAGCCAACCAAGACTGTCTTCAACCACAGAGTCATCGCCGCCTCTGGTGTCCGGCAAGACGCCGCCAGCCACGCATGCCGCCTCCAGTACGAGTATGTTCCCCAGGGCAAAAAGGACATTGAATAATGCCCTCGGCCCGGATAGCGACATTATTACCCCAGATTACTGCCCACCTGATGGTTGCAGGCATCTCACGTCTCCCGTGTCAACGTCGGCCGGCCAGAGCAGTCTGCAGGCCGAGGAATGCCCAGATGTCGCGATACAACCACAAAGCGAGCCACAGAGTGAGCCAGAGTTTCGGTTGCGCACAGATCCGTTTGTCATACCTTCAAGGACGATTCCGAACTTCCAAAGAAACAGGAGACAATGGAGTAAGTCGGCACCAAAAACCGCCTATGTCTTTGGATCGTGACTGATTCGTCTTTGGCTTTGGCAGTCTGGCTCTCTCCCTGGTCAACATGGTCCTTTACGGTGCGTCTCATGTTGACATTGGGCGAGAAGCTCCGGCCAGGAAGCCCTTCGCTTCCGCAGAACGTGCTCGACACAGAGGTATACGAGTTCCCGTGGCCGTCTTTTTCGGCTTCAGAAGTAAACATCTCAGGTCTACCATCACTCAATCATGCACTGTATCTCTTTACGACTGTGAAATTCCATCTCGGGCAGACCTATCGACTGTTTGATGAAGTCGAGTTTGAGAGCGAGATCAAGGACTTTTATGCAAACGCGGTACAAAATGTGTCACAGTACCGCGTGTGGTTCATCAAGTTTCTCCTCGTGTTAGCCTTCGGCACGGCTTTTCACACATCTCACACGACGGCCCAGGAACCACCGGGTGCTCGCTTCTTTTCGAGGGCCATGGCCCTCATGCCGGGCCCTGGCTGCATGTGGAAAGAGAGCATGCTGGGGATTGAAATTTTGGCCATGGCGGGCCTGTACCTTTTCTGTATCGACGACAGAGAGTCGGCTCATTGCTATGTAGGTCGCCCCCCTTATGTTCTGGCGACTCAGGAAACACCTTGACTGGTTCTAATTCATCTTGCCAGCTCAGCAATGCGATACGCATCGCCCAAATGGAGGGCCTTCATACACAGCTTCCCCAAGAAGAGCTTGGCGCGGAAAAGGTGACGCATTGCCGGGACCTCTGGTGGACATTGTACATTATGGATCGTCACTTTTCCTCGTCGCTCGGACTGCCCATGTCGGTTCAAGACGGTGACATAACCACACCTGTCAACCCGCCGAATGTAGGTTCGCAAAGTGACAGTGCGCGTAGTCTTCAGGTCAATCTCTCTCACCTAATGTCCATCATCGTCACAAGTAAGGCTCTGACATGTGTTATTTCTCGTCCCTTGCGCTAATACTCGGCACGTAGCGGTCTATCTGCCCGCCCGAACCCCCCTGACGTCCTTCTTGGAGCAGACTCGATCTATCCTGCACACCCTGGCTCATCATGCACAGGAAATAGAAAGAATCATACGTCTCAAGTTTGACAATTCACCAGGAGCCATGCCCAGAGAGACGCATTATCTGACCATGTTGTACCATCAGGTTCGACCTCATCGATGTTATACCCCTTGTCATCTACACCGTGCTTATGTTTTACCATAGTGTGTCATATTTGCGACTCGTCCGCCGCTTCTTGCCGCCCTCAAAGAGCGGTCAGAGTTGCTAGGCCATCCCGATGATGAGAACTGGGATGGCTTTTTGGCCCAAACGGCCACTGTCATTTCTGCTGGCATCAAATCAGCCGCCAAAACACTCCAGATTCTGTCCAAAGAATACAGCATGTTGGGTATGCACCGCGTGTAAACATGGTAGTCGGCTCAGCTGTCTGACACGATATTCCAGAAGTGTTTCTACCGTACGATGTTGAATTTGCTTTCGGGGCCGCGCTTCACCTGACCATGGCCAGCGCCGTCTTCCCCGACGTGGTGGACTATCAGCATTGCCGACACCTTTCTCACCAGATTCTTCACGAGTTGGTCTCTAGAGGCAACCGCATCGCAAGGGCGAGGACGGCCGAGCTGAAATACTTGGAAACCCTGTGCGCCGAGTTGGCCGTCCAAGGAAGGAGACAGGGCCACCAGACTTTGACATTGTCCCATTTGGAGAGCGAGCCGATGGACGTATGGGGCGCTGACGCTGGAAACGAGGCTAGGTTGACTGTGGGCGATCAGAATTTAGGCGCGGGCATGCCGGAACCCGATGACTCCCTGCAAGATCTTGGCCACAATACGTCGAGTAACATGGATTTGCTCAATAGCATTGGCATCTCGGCTGACAATTTCTTCTCTATAATACAACAGATGCCAGATCCGGAGACACTGTCGGAAAGCATATTGGACTGGGATTTATGGAAGGAGGCAACTTGAGTAAGCACCGAAGGGGGGAGTACTTCTTGCGAGCTATATAATTTGTTAGAAAGCCTGAAGAAATACATCACTTGGTGGCATCAAGACCACGGAACGAGGGCATAGGGCTCTATTCTATTAAATATGCGGATAAGTGCTACTATACTGAACGATCGCCATCGCATTGGTTCCCGTTTCAAATCTAAATATGTAGAATGTATGTGAATGTAACAAGTGGTTGAACTTTTGTAAGAAATAGGTCGTGTCGTATGTATTGTGGCTGCCTCTGTAGGATCACGAGTTATCCAAAAGATCCATGGCCAAGCTTCTGGAATCATTCATCCCAATCGCTGTATTGCACCTGAGAGTTTACAGAAACGTAAAATCATTTACAGGATCCGTCTGTAGGATCCTCTCCTTCCAATTTGACACACTACTCAATTAGCATCATTGCGACTTGAAATTGCATACAGCAGGCAAACTTACCCGACTACCTCCACACGGCTTTGGGCAGCATGTCTGACCAGAAGGACATCCACTTTCTAAACAGCTTGTCCATTCGCAGTCGGAGGAGATCCCCCCAGTCGGACACCTCCGATCCCAGTCATGAGCAGCCACGACTGAGCTCAGAACGAGCGCCAAGATGGTTGCTGAAATCTTCATATTGAAGGATATTATGATGTTGTGATGGTGACTTTTTCTCAATTGTACCGGTTCAAGATCAATTAAGAGTTGAAGAAGATGGTTTGCTGGATGATGAGCTCGAAACATAAAAGTCCGAGGCAGAGATTAAATACTGCCAACGGGCCGTCGGTACTCGGTGCAATTTTTCGGCGTGTAGCCTCATAGTTCCGGGCTAATAGGCTCGTATGACTCGGTTTGCATGATTTGATCTTATGAAATAATGCAGGAAGAGAAAAGCCCGGAGCCCATGCCGCGATGGCTTGGAATGCCATTGGTTGAGGGCACGCTCGGGTCACAAGCGTGCTGACGCCAGATGCATGTAAGGCCACGAATCATCATTTGCACACGGAAATATCTGTCAAGGAACAGGGAAACAGCCCCCACGTAAGCACATCATGCTGTTGAGTAAAAATGGGATAAATTTAAGGGTTCAAATGATCGTCAGCGGCCCCAAAGGACTTGCAGGGGTCCCCAACCGGCTATAAAAGCCTGGGGTTACATTTGCAGGATTTTTTGTCAAGCAACTCAGACTTTTCATCATCAAAAGAACCATCAATCGAGGCCCTAGAACGCTTCCCAAATTATCGTCATTTTCCACGACGTAAAATTGCTCGTCAACACTCAACAATTGGTTGAGGGTAAGACGGAGCCATAAGCGTGCCGACGCCGCATGCGTACGAGGCCACGTATCATCGCCTGTATGTACATGTAACTATCTGTCAAGGTGCAGGGCAAGAAGCCCATGTCAGCACATCTTACGCAAACTTCCGAGTATTCATGCTTATTTTATGGCTGATCGTCGGGCGATTCCCAGACTCTCTACCTGTCCGCCCCCGCCAATTGTGTGTCGCTCAGAGTGACTGAACACAACCAAACAAGAGTCGACCCCAATGGCAAAGGGTCAGCAGACCTCCCAGTTATGGAAGTGGCAAGGATATTATCATGCAACTAAGCCTCTGTGCGGCTGATCGACACCACGCCCGAGCATCCGGTTCCAGATCAGTGGCTTGGTTTGCCCTTTGCAACTTGACGGTAAAGAACGACGACAGTGTTGTCCATCCCTGAGGATGGTCTGTTGAAAAATCGTGGGCTGTCAAATGTCCCAGAGTCTGTTTCGCGGAATCTCGGTGATTTCCGTGTCGCTTATATGCCGAATGTAACCATGGAGATTATGAACAGTCATGCACCAACCAAGACGGCGTTGCCCGAAAAACATGCACAAGGCATGCAAAACCTTGTATCCCATCGCGCTGCAGGAGAGGTGGTTGTCGTAAGATTATCCCTCGACGTAGCGTGTGAGGCGCAGCAACTGTATTTGGGCGTACAAGTCGGCATGATTTCTACATCTTGGGTTTGGGTTTTGTCTGCAGGTGTTGTGGCCGGGATACCAAGCCATCCACGATGACGACATGCACCGGCGTGTCCGTCCCGTCGCGCTAGCCATGTAACCAGACTTGATTACCTGTCCAGGATGGCTGGTTGACAAGGGGTTCGGTAGTTGAGGCTTGTTTCATCTCATAAAGATGTTGGGAACCAATGAAATGCGCTGCCTCGTCTGACAGGAACATTACTAGCTCGGAGCAAGCGTTTACGCCAGTCTGGCAGTAGACCAATAGGGGAAACTAGTCATCAAATTTAGATGTAGACGTTTTTCCACGCCACGTGGCTTTTTCCACTTCAGAGTGTCAACTCTTTGGCAAGGCTCGACGTTTATTGGCCCATACCGGGTGAGATGCGACCGACGCGGACGTGGAAATTGTTGTGCAAAGTAGAGTGAAGAAGTAAAACATGATGTCACGACACATAATTGGGATAATGGAGGCTAATTCGTTAGGAGAAATAAGGTAGGACTGTTATTGCTTTCCTGCCGCGGGCCCTCTCATCAAATTAAGCAACCAACTTGTTTACTTTCGCGACTGAATTCGATGCCGAGACAGCAACGGGCCAATTCAATATGTGCGATTTGATGCATCAAAGTAGTACTGCCCATGCTGACACCAGAAAGGAGACATGCTTATCGACATTAGCAGTCTAGCCGCTCATTTTTCTGCTCCTGCATGCATTGCATACGCGGCCTCCAAGTTCGCACTGGGAGGGCTATTGGAAACACTGGCTAGAGAGATCGATGTACTCTGAAGCAAGATTATTGTTGTCAGTGACCTTGTATCCAATTTTATATACCCTTAAACCACATATCAACGCCGATGACGAAACTCCAGCCGGAGAGCTCGTTCAGCCCCAGGTATACGCAAATGGAAAGCAGAGAGGAAACCTAATCAAAGGTGCAGAAGCTGCTCCGAATATGTCCATCGGCACCGTGAATCATGTATTTGACAGAAATGTAGACTGGCAAGTTTTCAGACTCATCGTGGGGTGGGATATCGTAAAAGTTGGAACGCACAAGATCGGATTCCTGTCGAGAGGTTTTGCCAAGACTATTGACGTCGTTTTGGATTTAGATATTTAGGGAGACCAGTCTTGGCATTGGTAATATAAACTTAATTCGGCAACACTCGCATCTAATTTGTAATAAAGGAATGACTGTAACAAGGGCTAGAGGCTTGGAGCAATTACTCAATTCATCTAATAACAGTCTTTGGTATCAAAGGTCCTTGGTTTTCCTCAAGGCCTTGAGGGACCGAAGATGTCCATTTATACAAGAAGTCGGTAAGGACCTTTTGCCCTAATCCCGTGACCGTTGCCCTTGTGTAACCAGCCATTTCCTGTAACAATGACTGTCCCAGAGACATCGTTTTTCTGCCTATATCAACAGCAAAAGCTGCGCTGACCTGGCCAGCGACGTGGCTTTCCGGAACCTCTACTTTGAGTCGATTCATAGCAACTGAGCCAAAGAATACACAATCCCAAGATAAAAATCAGGCGGAACCATTGATTTGAGAGTTTATCAAAGATTCTGACTCTCAGAGAATTGTGGGCGAGAAGCCAGAAATCCAACAGATGCTCAGGACTTCACAAATGCACGGGGAGCTTTGCCACCGGGAAAAAGATAGTCAACCGTCTCTCCAGCTTCTACAAAGTCTCCACATATCTTCTATCTTCATAATCATCTCGCTACAGCTATTCTTAATTTACTCATTGCACAAGTCTGCCTTGGCAGTTTCTCCAGCCCAAGCTCGTCGAATCAGTTCGCGAATCCATTGTTTCTCCAGCGGACGCGGGTTCGGGTACTGATTACCCGCGGCAATCTCAGTCGCCTTTTCGATATCGCCCTCCTCCATGCCCAAGTCCTTCAGTGCCCGCGGCACCCCCAACTCTTGCAGCAACAGCTCCAGACCGCGTAGAGCGTCTCCATTGCTTCCGGGGAAAACAGTAGCCAACTTGGCCATCTGCTCCGGTATGGCAGGCGCATTATACGACAGCGCATGCGGCAGCACGACGGTGTGTGTCTCTGCATGGGGGAGTGCAAACGACCCCCCGAGCACATGGCACAGCTTATGGTGAAGCCCCATGGATGAGCTCCCCAGGACAGCGCCGCAAAGCCAAGCGCCGTAAAGAGCCTCCTCCCTTGGCGCCTTGGATTCCGGGCTGCGGACAATCTGTGGCAACGCCGCTGCCAGCGCCTTGATGCCCTCGAGCGCAAGCGTCGAAGTGATGGGGTTGGCATTCGTCGCGTAGAGCGCCTCTACGGCGTGGGCAATGGCGTTGATTCCAGAAGTACTACAGATGGCGGGCGGCAGCGTCATGGTAAAGTCTGCGTCGTAGATGACGACTGCGGGCAAAATCCTGGGATCCGATCGCGTCGTCTTCTTGCCATTTTGCGTCTCGCCGAGAATGGGCGTCATTTCCGAGCCCGAGTACGTCGTGGGTATGCTGATATGGGGTACTCCTGTGCGAATGGAGACGGCTTTGCCCAGGCCGACGACTGAGCCGCCGCCAATGGAAACCACGCAGTCGGCGGCGACGGAGGCGAGAAAGGCGGTTGCTTCTTCGGTCACAGAGGTCGGCGTGTGTGCTTTTGCGTGGGGGAAAGTGCCGGCTATAGTGATGGCGGCGGCTTGGATGATGTCAGACAGCTGATTTGAGAAGTTGCTCTTCCCGGGCGTCGCGAGGAGAAGCGGTCGAGAAACATTGAGACGCTCAATCTCGGCGGGGAGTTTCTTGACAGAGCCGGAGCCAAAGATGACTCGGCTTGGAAGGACATTGTACTCGAATTCCTTCATCTTGTTGGTGAAGTGTGCCGAGATTTGGAAATGCGCTTGTCGAGCGTGAATGGGAAATGGAATCAAAGGCGCGAGTACGTGACGGGTGCGTCCGGCGCCGGCTAATGCATTCGGTAGCATCGAGTGTCTAATCAGTATATAAGCACATGATGCGCG